TAAAATGCTTCAGAGGCCAACGATTGAGAGCTGTTCTCGAAGTCACGGAAATTCATTTCATAGGACATAAAATCTCACGCTATGTCACTTCATACTCGTTATTGGCCCGCTTGCTCTTAGCTATTGGTAAGTTTAATAGTTTCATCATGTATTTCATACGTTGTCAAAAAACACGGATGCGCAACTGCGTTCAGTAGCTGTGATTATTTTCGGCTATTCATCACATAATTGCTTGACGCATCCTGTCATGTATACACGAGAATCTCTACTTAGAAAAGAACGTTTCACGTTANACACGAGAATCTCTACTTAGAAAAGAACGCTTAGAGGATTGTTTTTTCAAGAATGACAGCATCAATAAACCGTCCGTTCCGAAACCACAGTCGCTGACCGAGGGTTTCACGTTATACAGTCATTTTTCCAGCACAATCTTCCACACTAAGTAGTTCTTACACGAGTCATCTCAACAAATACTGAAGCTGCAAAAAATCTAAAGGGGTGGACGGGATATGGCAATCATGACAGCGGGTATTTGTTCTAAACTTTGAACATTCGGAATTTACATGAGTCACAAAAAAACAAAGAATGGACTTTGACACCAAGTCCGTTTGCATCACCTGTAAATCATAATCCAAATACTCACAAAATCTCTATTCTCAGTGCCGCACGGTAAACCTATGAGATGGTGAATCACTTGACAGAAACCGAATGGAGAGTTGGTGAGCTTTCCAACCGGATGACTTGGTTGCTTCAGAACAGGCCCGTGTAAAATTTAGGCGTAGGTGACCTTCTTTTGATTAATTTGTTTCTTACGGTCATATCCAGCATCACAATCCCTCACTTGGCAAAACACCCACCGATTCGCGCAAATTATAAGCAACTGTCCCTGACTTCCAGCCGACCGCTATCCACTGAGCTCTTCGCAGCACGTATGTGAAGTTCGGCTACTGATAATGGAATCAGGGACATTGGTAGTAACAAATAACTTTGATAACTGAAACGATGGTTTGACTTAGTTTTCAATACGTTGTCGGATTACGATGCGTTGAAGAGTTCAGGTGAAAAAAAACTGGACTAATATTTGGGGCCCTTAGAGTGGAAGAAAATATCCTCCGTGGATGAATCCATCACATACCGAAGCTGTNTGAGAAAACAAGTCAAAGCAAGCTCAGCAAACGGGACACGAATGAGCATGGGCCGAGATTTCCAACAAGGATGAAAGAGCGGCACAGTGCTTCTAGGCGTTTCAGCATAGATTGGCTTAAGCGGTGGGATGAACTATTCAATGAGTTTTGTTTTACTGCTCAATCCCCATATTGGATTTTTATTTGTTTTGTGTACACTTGTGAGAACACATTCCCCACCGTAATATCTGGAGTGTCATGTCCCAGAATCGACCTTCTCTGACCATCATTGCACAAACTGCACCGAAGACGTATGCGGCTCATCATTTCTAAACCTTGATTTGAGTTTCCGGGTTACCTCTCTGCTCGACATTTTTATCCCCCATTCATTATGTAAGTATTTTTTATAATTTTTTTTAACTTTTTCTTTCA